GCACCTACAAGCGCGCAGCTTGCAACCCTAAACCCCTTTAACCCTAAGCCCCCGAATCCTACATCCCAAGCCCCTCAACCCCTAAACCCCTAAACCCCACAAACCTTGAACCCAAAACCCCTAAACCCTAAACCCACAAATCTTAAACCCTTAAATCCGTAAACCCTACGCCCTAAACCTTGAAACCTTGAAAGCCTAAAACCCTAGACCCTTAACCAAGGCGCTCCGTAGACTTCCCCGGGCTCGCCACAGCTCCGTTGCCGGAGCCCCTGGTGGAGGCCAAAGCCGTTGAGCCCGAGGCTCCAAAGGTTAGGGTTTAGGGATTTAGGGTTAGGGGTTTTAAGGGATTAGGGTTAAGGGTTTAGGGATTTCGGGTGTAAGGGTTTACAGTTAAGGGTTTAGGGTTTAAGGATTTAGGATTCAGGGTTTAAGGGTTTAGGGTTAAGGGTTTAGGGTTTGGGAGAGATTGTAAGGGGATTGTGTAGGGATTGTATAAGGTTTAGGAAGCAATGCTTCAATAACAGAGAATAACGTACATGGAAATAGAACATGGCAAATGAAGCGATAGATAATGGTTCATAGGGTTTGATTCTCAGGGCTAACGGTTTTGGGTTCAGGGTTTAGGTAAGGGGTGCAGGGTGTAGGAGTCAAGGGTTAGTTTATTGATTCAGAGTTTTAAATGGGTTTAGTTCGGGGTCTAGGGCGTTTATGGCGGGAATTAGGGAGGGTTCACCGGTGGTCATGGACTGCCTGAGGGATTTTCTTGGGGCCTTATTTAGGGGCAATAGTCCTAATCATAACAATAGCAAAAATCTAAAAAACATTGAAAACGTAATAGTAAGAGTACGAGTAAGAATAAGAGTAATAGTAATAGTAGCCAGTAACAAGGCTTTTGCGTTTCAATTTGAGCTTTCGGAATGAACCTTTCAGGATTTCCCCGCACAAGTGTTCATTGGGATACGGGCGCATGACTTATGTTTTATAGTCTACTTGCCAAGAAGGGATTCACAACTAAAGACTCCCTAAGCCCCCCTTAAGGTCCCCTCAGGTCTCCTAAGATTAGGCTGACTTATGTGGAGTCCTTGGGATGTTCTTGCAGCTGTAGACGGTAGCTTGTATCAGGTCTTGGGCTTGCCGTTTACTGCGCGTTGCGGCTGTGGAAGCGAGTTCCGTGTAGGTTTGTGGAGAGGTTGCACTGACTTGCGCGCTGCAGCTGCGCAGATTTTGGCTGGGCATGTGCTGCAGTACGGCAGCCTTCAGAGTTTGCAGTTAAGACTGTGCCAAGTTTGGAAAGGTTTGAGGGTTCCGGATCGCTTAATACTTTCATAGACTGGCAAGCTGACAGCTGTCAATGTAAATCCATTCCAAAACCGGTTTGAACAGACAGAGATGAGCCCCCGTGCGTCAATGCACGCACAATGCAGCAGAAACCCAAAGGCATGCCCCCACCTCAGAATGACTGTCAGCGCACACGCACAGAAGCAGAGCTGCCCGAGTTAGTTGGCATCCGAGAGAACTAGTCCATTTCTGTTTTCCCTCAGCCTTAACAGAAGCAATATTGCAGGATGAGCCCTTAGTCCGTAAACAAAGCCATAGCTCAGAGTGTAGAGTGTAGAAATGATGGCCGCGCCCTCCGAGGGCGTAACGGCACAGCATCTGCAGAGCCATGGAGACATCATTGCCAGGGAGTCGCCGGGAGACAGCGTGAGCTGCCTGGCATGGTCTCCACGTCAGGACGCGGATTGTTAAAGGGACACCTAGGGATATAAAGGGGTATATAGGGATCTACAGGGTCTCCAGGGATATATTGGGATCTCCAGGGTACTGGGGTTGAGGGTTTAGGGCCAAAATTGCCCGGGATTATACTAAACAGGCATTGTTCAGGGGTTCTGTAGGGATTATATGAGGAGTATGTAGGGTTTAGGTAAGTGATGCAGCTACAGCTATAGCATGTAACTAAACGGAAAAGAAAACAGAAGATGACATGTAAACTGGGATCACATGCGTAGGAGTTTATAGGGTTTGGGATGCATGAGAGCTTCCGAAATATTAGGGGTCCTATTTGGGCCCGTATTATTGAATGAAATATTCGTCCGATTCTATAGTGGCATGCTATTGGGGATGTTTTTTAGTTGGGTGATGGGGCCGTGGGGTGGAGGAGGGGCTTAAAAACGCAGATGGCCCGAGGTTGATGATCTCCAAAGAAGCTATTTTCCAGTTGCCCCGACCTTGCGAGAATGTTGAAGCCGAAAACATGTCCTTAGCCCCAATGGCAGCCCGGTGAAATTCCCAGCTTCGTATTTCTGAACTGGGCATTCAGACAGTTTGCATTCTGTTGCATCTTTCTAGGTCCAGGGTAGTGGGACATGTTCCAGTCTTCGTACGCGGACCTTCATCTACAGAAGACAGTTCTCCCTGGGTAAGTGGAAAGTCTATTGCTTGCAGAAGGTACCAGATATTCCCTGGATTCCATTCAAGCCCTACACAGGCCCTTCAGCCCCAAGACCTTAAACAGTTTTCTTCAGAAGCACACCTAAATCCTAAGCCCCAAACCCTAAACCCTTAAACCCTCAAACCCAAAACGTTTAAACCCTTAAGCACTTAAACCCTTAAACCCAAAACCTTTGGACCCTAAGCCCCTGATCCAGGATATCGTGGTCGCTAGCGCCTGGGACCGAAACGTCTACGTTTGGGAGGTCCTCCAGGGCGGCCAGGAGGTCTGGGTTATAGGGTTATAGGGTTTAGGGTTTAGGGTTTTAGGGTTTAGGGTTTAGGGTTTTAGGGTTTAGGGTTTAGGGTTGAGGGTTGCCTTCAAGGGGGCTTTACGGCTTAGGGTGCCTTAAAGGGGGTTATATAGGGGTTGAGGGTTCAGGGTTTTATAGGGGGCTTGTCTAGGGGGTTGCAGACTTACATAGAGTTTAGGGTAAGGGGTGTAGGATTTAGGGTTCAGGAATTATATGAGCCATAGTCTAAACTAGTCTAAACTCCTTAAAGGAGGTTATATAGGGGATTAGATAGGGGACTATTCTACGGAATATTACCGCGGATTCTGGGAGTTTAGACTAGGGCGTATATGGGGTCTTAGGGTTATAGAGCAGGTGGCTGTGGGACCTGGATTTTGAAAAACACATATTTTCATATCCCACAGCCACCTTTTCTGTAGGGTTAAGGGTATGGTTCGGATAAGGCTTAATAGAGTTTAGGGGAACGGGTATACGGTTTAGGGCTTAGGGTTTATATAGGGTTTACGAAGTGTTTACATGCGTCTATATAGGGTTTATATTGGGTTTGCATGGGGTTTGTTCAGAGATTGGGCTATATGGGCTTTTAGAAGAGGTTATGTAGGCTTGAAGGGACATGACCCCAGTAGTGGAGAGTCAGGTGGAGAAGCAAATGGACAGGCAAATGAACATTTGGTTATATGTATAGCAATGGGTTCTACAAAAGGCTAATCGGTTTTTTATATATATATACATATACAGAGATATGTGGGGAAATGGAAAGGTATATAGGTTTCGGATTCTGGGCCCGGGGTTGAGGGTTTGGCTATAACTTTAGTTTGAGGGTTTTGGGCTCAGGATTTGTGGTTAACGGGTGTAAGGTTCACAAGGCTTGATCCTCTGTGTTTAAGGTTAAGGTAGAGTCTGCTGGGCCCTGACGAGATAGCGCGACTTCTGATACAAATGGAAAGAGCGCTAGCAACAATACCCTGGGCAACGGCATGACGACAAAGTGGCAAGAATGAAAATGACCACAGGAGTGCATGCGCCAACTGAACTGTGATTGGCAATGTTGCCACCTTATGAGAGGAGGATAATGGTGGAGACACTGTCATGTCGAGAATCTGCAGGGACAGTTTCGACACTTCAGCTTTCTGCGCTTTGAGGAAAGTAGGGTCCAGCTTACCTTGCATACGTCAGCATAATCGGGCCGATGTTGCAGGGGGCCCCGGAAAGAGATCCATGATAGGAAAACCCCCAGGTGGTACAACGGGCTACGTTTCACAGGGAGGCCCCAGTGCTGAGCTGTGCTTGGAACCGCGATGGGACCCATGTGGTGTCTGGAGGGTGTGACCACAAGGTGGTGGTGCGCGACTTGCAGCTTGCTTCTTCTATTCCAAGCTTTTCGAATTCTCGCATTTTTGATTACCATCCCCAATTAGGGACATCCTGCATAGAACTGATCTTGGAAACTGAGGCAGACGCAGCAGGATACGGAGCTGGGCTCCCACAGTGCTCCAATCAGATATGTCTCAACCTTGGAGGACCAGAACCTCATTGTCTCTGGCAGCTGGGACAAAACATTACGGTTCTGGAGCCCGCAGCAGCCGCAGCCTGTGAACACAGTGCAACTACCAGATCGTGTCTTTGCCATGGACATAAAGTTCCCACTGATGGTAGTGGGCCTTGCTGACAGGCAGATGCTCACCTTCGACCTTAGCCAAGGTGGAGCAAGCCTTCAGACACCAAATTCTACCATTTCCAGTCCGCTGAAGATGCAGACGCGGACAATCTGCTGCTTCCCAAGTAAGGCCGGCTATGCCGTTGGTGGCATCGAGGGCCGCTGCTCAGTGAAGAACCTGCAGGACCCTTCCAAGACCTTTTCCTTCAAGTGCCACCAGACAACAACGTCTGCCGGGTCAGTGAATGGCTGCTTGAACAGCCTGAGGAAGTATCTTGCAGTTTTTTGTTGCTTTCGCATTGCAGTTTACATGCATGTCTGATTGCCAAAGTATCGGACAGTAGTGGCCCAGGCTTGGACTTTCATCCGGTCGACACAAGCACCCTGGTGACTGCGGGTAGTGACGGTGCCTTCATCGCCTGGGATACAGCCAACAAGAAATGCCTGAGGCGCTGTGATGCCAGTAAGACTTCCATCAGCGCCTGCCGCTTCAACGCCTCTCGGGACTGCTTAGGAGTTAGGGTTTTATCATCTACTTAAACTACTACTACTACTACTACTACTACTCCTACTGCTACTGCT